AAGCTTGCTGCGCCAATCAGCTCTTTGGCGCGGCAAGCCTGGGAGGGAGGAGGGAGAAGCAGAGCTGCGGCGCGTTCATGGGAGGAGGCGGAACAGGGGTGAGCTGTGGCTGGGGGGGGCCGCAGCAAGTAAGGGGGGGGCACAGAGGAACTGCTCCCCACCCCAGCTTACCTCGCCGCTGCCACCTCCTCCCATGAGCACGCCGCTCAGCTCCACTTCTCCTCCCTCCCAGGCTTGCCTCCACTCATGGGAGGAGGCGGAACGGGAGTGAGCTGGGGTGGGGGGCCCCTGGGGAGGGCCGCAGCAAGTAACAGGGTGCAGAGGAACTGCTCCCTGCTCCAGCTCATCTCTGCCTCCTCCCCTGAGCACGCCGCCGCCACTGCTCCGCTTCTCTCTTCCTCCCCCCCCCCAAACAGCTGATTGGCGCGGCAAGCCTGGGAGGGAGAAGCGAAGTGGCGGCGGCGCACTAGGGAGGAGGCGGAGGTGAGCTGGGGCAGGGAGCAGTTACTCTCCCTACCCCGCTATAACGCGGTCTCACCTATAACATAGTGAGTTTTTTTGGCCTCTGAGGACCGCGTTATATCGGGGTAGAGGTGTATTGCAGTCCATCTCAGTGGCGGCTGCTTTTCAATGGCAAAGTGCATTATTTAGGCAGTGTGGTCTAGTGGCTTAGGCCTTGGACTGTGACTCGGGAGACTTGGGTTCTATTCCCAGCTCTGTCACTGGCCTGTTTGGGCAAGTCACTTCCACTCTCTGTGTCTCAGTTTCCCCTTCTGTAAAGTGGGGATAATGATACTGATCTTTGGGAAGTTCTCTGAGATCTACTGATAGGATCTTGGTGGTATTATTTATTTGTACTGTAGTAATGCCCAATAGGAAGAGCAGGGCCCCATTGTATTAGGCAGAAAGAAATAGTCTTTGCTCTAAGAAGTTTACAGTCCAATACAAAAAATAACAAGCAAGTGTGGCAAACAATAGGCCGGTGAGTTTTACAGTAACAAAGTTGTGCAATTACTTAGACTAGTTATATGCACACCACATGATTCCTGAGAACTTAAAAGTATTGTGGGAGTTTGTGTGCTGATATTGTTGGCATGGGGATAAAAGCTGCTAAAGAAACATCAGATACAAGATTTGAGGGGTGTGGGGTAGATTTTTTATTTTATTTTATTTTTAAATGGCTGTCACCCAGAGGAAATTAAGTACGTGACTTTCTCAGACCTAGTATCTTTGCTTCTTTCCAGTGCATTTCCGGTATGTGGTATTCCATCCCTTTCTGGATGAGATTCTGATCGGGGAGATTAAAGGCTGCAGTCAGGATGGAGTTCATGGTAAATTACAACCCCTAATACTAGGGAGACTATAGCTGTCAGTGTTGAATCCAGCATCCTAGGCTATGAGATTGGTTTGAGATACAGAGATGTTCAACCCCAAGTCATTATTTCTAGTTTGGCTTGGGTCAACAGTAACTAAGGCTAGGTCTACCCTTGCAGAGTTTTTTCGCTGACAGTTTTGTCGGTGATAGAAGAGCACTAAAAGAAAAGTGCTGGTTTGTGTTCACATTGTTTTCCACAGGCATCAGAGCGTGTTTACATATGCAGCACTTGCATCGCAGATGAGAGGAGTGCACTGTGGTAGCTGTCCCACTATGCACTGCTCCGGGACACAAAGCAAATCATTATTGTGGAAGGGGTGGATATGTGTGTGTGACAGTTGCCTGAAGCAACCAGTCGCGGGGGAGGGAGAGACCCCAACCTCAGCCCCTGCCTCCCTCCCTCCCTGACTCTGCACAGCACATTCTGTCTGCCTGCCTCTGTTCGCATTGTGGGAGGCAGCAGGAGCATTCCACAAAAATGATTTGTTTTGTGTCCCGGAGCAGTGAGAGCACAGGCTGTCAGAATGGAGCTAAAGGGGGAGGGACGTATACCTGCAGGCAGGACTGCTGAGTTTCAAAGAGCGACCACTCCCTCTCTGCATTGTGGTACAGCTCCAGAAGGCAATTAGACCCGTAAAAGCAATCTAGAGTCTTCACTGGCACATCAGCGCAAAAACATCAGTGCAAAAAGCAAAAAAACTCTCATTGGGGTGGATTTCCAGTCAAAATATGGATTCCAGCAAAAACCTGACAGGGAACAAGAGTGAAATGAGTGTGGGAGCAATCTTGGGGCTAGTCTACACTGGCAACGCTAAAGCACTGCCGTGACAGCGCTTTAACGTGGCTTGTGTCATAGCTCCCAGCGCTGGTGCACTGTCTACAGTGGCGCTTTACAGCGCTGAAACTTGCTGTGCTTGGGGGCGGGGGGGGATGTTTTTTCACACCCGTGAGCAAGAAAGTTGCAGCGCTGTAAATTGCTGGTGTAGACAAGCCTTTAGTTAAATTGTTAGTTTCAGACTGGGGGCAGGTGTGGGCCCTTTTGCTTGAGGGTTTTGCCCAGACCCACAAACCTCCTTTATTCAGTCCTGTATGTGCACATCCCAGAAGAGCTTGGATCCACTAGATTGTGCAGGTGGATAAAGCTCACTGGCGGATGGAGGCATAGGTTTGCTTTGTCTGAATTCCTTTAGCATGGCTTCTGAGAGTCATTTGGTTAAAAGGGGTATATTATCACCGTAAATCACATTGGTCAGAATTCTCTTGCCTTCTATGATTATGTGCAGTGTCTGTGACCCCTCCCTGTATCTAAAGTTAGTGGAAAAAATTGTTTACTTTGTGGATTTGACAGTAATTAGTTTATGGTCAGGGTGTCACTATCCTTTCTTGTTTTGAGGGACTTTCTCACAGCAGCTGAGAGAGAGAAACACTTAACAGAAGAGTGGGACTGTAGAGCTATAGATCTGCTAGGGGGACTTAGGCAGGCACAACAACTGATTTGCTGTACTTCACACTTAAAAAAAAGACGTCAAGCTGACATTATACCACTTTAATGTACTCCATCACTGATGACAAGATCCTTTTCTTCCTAATTCGATTCTTTTGCTTTGCAGTTTCTCTTGGTTTCTTCGATGACATTGTCATCCCTCCAGAGTCCTTGCAGCAGCCAGCTAAGTTGTATCCTCTAACCATCTTTCACATTGACTTTTTTCTTTTCTTTTTTTTTAAAGAAAGGAGGGAAGTGGCTACAGTTCTTAATTGTCACCGTAACCCTTGCATGCCCCCTTCTGTACTATAAAGAGACTCGGGGACAGCAGCTGGAGTATCATGCCTGGTCCAGAGTCCCATGCAGTCAGGTATCGGCGTTAAACAGCTAACCCCTTTGGGGTCACACCACGTGGGTCTTGTAGGGTTACTCTGCCACCTGTTAGAAATGAATGGCAAAGTCACCTAAACAGCTGGGGGGCAGGGGGGGGTTCTACAGCATAGACATTCTCCAGTCTTGTAACTTGCCTCCATCAGTGGCCTGCCCAACATGATGCACTTGGCCTAATCGGTACATGGTGGGAGTAATTTTTTTTTTTTTTGGACTCCATCCCAGGTGACTATCTTATGCCTTGAAGCATGAGCACTGATTATCCTTTTTGCTGCTGTAAAGGTAAGATAAAAGGGCCTGGGTTTTAGAGCTGCTTGGAGAAGTGTGGTGCAGTTTGAGAACGGGTGAAGAGAGTGAATCCTGGGATTCAAACCACGAGCCTCCTGCTCAGAGGGCTCTTGGGGAGAATGGTCTATTGAGTGAAAGAAAACCACTGGATTCTCATGATTTGTTTTACTGCCTTGACTTGAGCTGGCCAGCGATGAAGCAGAGCAGGTCTGGGTGTGGGAGTATGAGACAGAAGAAGGAGCTCATGATCTGTACATGGACACGGGGGAGGAGATCCGCTTCCGGATTGTGGATGAGAGCTTTGTTGACACATCTCCTACAGGTCCAAGCTCCACAGAGGCCTCCACCTCTGGTGCCACAGAGGAGGTACAGAAGAAGGAGGCACCCTACACTCTAGTGGTAACTATGTATAATTCATACAGCACTGTAGATGTGCATGGCATTTTAAAGAGACCGTGCCTCTTCCCCAAATAGCTTACTGTCTAAATTAGAGATAACACAGTGAAGGATGACAAAGGTGAGGGAGGAGGTTACTGAGATCAGCTTTACTAAATATGTATCTGGTGTCTTTGTCATTGTAATAAACATTGGGATGAAGTTCTGAGGAGGGGGCTGAAGGCAGCAAGTGAGGTTGCCTGGTGCACATGGAATAGAAGTGCACCTATTGCTGTACAATAGCCTTGTGCCAAACAATCTCTTCCCCTAAAGAACTTCTGATCTAAAGGCCTGTGCACAGCAGAAAGGCAAGACTCTAAATTAGTGCTGGTGCTCCCTTAAATTGCACCTTCCCAGTGATGGAGTGGGGTATTTGTGTGTGGAGGCTGGACCTCTGAGGGTCATTGTGAGACAGGGAGGAAAGGAGGATTCCAGTAGATACTCAGATATTCCCCCTCCTTTGAATACACCCACCCACCCCCAGTTGACCGCTAAGTTGGATCAAACATTCACTCTTATCTACTTGCCTGTGAACCTTCTTAAATTCTCATCTCATTCTTTTTCCTTCTCTCTGGACAGGGATCTATCAGTGAGCCTGGCCTGGGCCTCCTCTCGTGGTGGACAAACAGTTAGCAGCAGTCAGAACTTGTTCTGCATGGCCCCTACAGGATGGATGCTTTCAGGGATTGCAGGAGCCAGCAGGTGCTCTGCTCCCCTCCAGGGAGTGGACAAGAAAGCAGGGCTTCCATGTTCCTGTCTTTGCTCCCCACCAGTTTGAGCTGACAACTGCCAAGAAATACCTCTGTTAGAACTGTACAAGTAAAACTACAGACATGGAAGGACTGCCCTGTTACATGAGCCCAGCAGCCACAAACCCATCTGGGACTTTGACATCCTGGAAAGCAGAGCAAAATTGGGTTCAAATGCCAAAGAAAGTCTCTGTCTTGAAAAAGAGCAATCTGAGTTGTTATAGTGGCAGGACAAGTGGTGCTGTCTGGCCAGAAGAAACTGGTAATTTTCTACCACACCCAGTCTCCTGGCTTGAGAAATGTAAGGAGAGGTATAAGCAAAGGCCTGTCTCTCCTTTAGTGGAAGTGTTCATATCTCCTTGGCACAAAACAAGGTGCTGCTGCTGTCTCAACATGAGAGAAAACCGCAAAGTATGGGAAAGGGATACGTTGGCTCTTAAGCCATTGTAAACCTTGGTGATGAAAGGATGGGGAAGGCTTTGAGAGCTGGGGCACGGATGGGAATCCAGGCCATAGAGGATTCACTTCACGGTACAAGGGAGCTAGAGTTCTATTACATGAATTGCCATGAAGATGGAAGGGTGACCGCTTACTAGGAAGCAATTTAGCTTCTGTTTCTAATCCTTTGCTGTCCTCTGAAAACAACCACCTGCTATGGTGCTGAAATACAGTGGATGGACTGTGGTTTTATGCAAAACAAGCTCAATTCTACTGGTGGCTTGGCTGAAATGGTCACTTAATTTTAGAGGAGAGGCCATATTGCTGAGTAAAGCCATATTTCCAATCCCTTAGGGGGCAGGAAGGCTGGTTTTAATATTAGATGAATAAATGTTACTGGCCATACACAACCCAGCTTCCTCTCTATCAGGAAAAGACCAAACCCAGGCTTCTGCAGCCTGGAATGCTTACTCCATCTTGATGCAGATACTTTCTGGTTTCTACTTTGAGGAACAGCATTAAACACACAGGAACCAAACTAAATTACTTTTGCTGCCAGCAATGAAAGGAAAGCAGGGAACAAAAAGTTAGTGGGAGTCTGTGCAGGGGAGGGAGCCAGGACTGTGATGTGTTTTGCATGATTAAATAGCAGCCATTTTGGGGGGCTAGAATTCCATTGGATGGTGGTTCTGCTGATCTAAACCATGAATGCAAAGCTTAAGTCACTGGAACCATTCTTACAATATAATTACAGCTCCTTAGGTCTGAGCTTGGCTACTGCTGGGTCATAGATTTAATCAAAAAGAAGTCTAGAATTCATCTTCTCTCAGCCATTTGAATTCATAAAGTCCCCTCTGTGCTGTCACCAGCTTCTCTAATGAAGTATAGCAACACTGACCAACCATTGCTCTATGTTAGTGTGATTCTAACAGAGCTGCTAAGGGGAAAGAAAGGTATGGATATTTTACAGAACGTTATAGCTTGGAGCATAGGAGGAGCAGATTTGGGCATGTTCTAGGAATAGGCTTCAAGGAGGAGAGGATGCTCTTCATACAGCCTCATCTTTATATTTTATGGCACTTTGGCTATGTGAAAACCATGGATTCCAAGCAGCTGAAGTCAGACCAATAAAAACTACTGGTAGTGTCAGTCTCATACACGTGTTATTGCACTGTGGCCTCTATGCACACATGGCCATGAACAACTATCAAGTTACAGCACTGGCAGTGCTGTCTTGCCTATTATACCCCTCTGAGTTCTGAGGCTAGATTGAAGCTTGCATTGGTGCAGTGTTAGAGAAATGGAAGAGTTCTCCAATTTTCAGTATTTTGGAATGAAATTGAGGTAGTATGTGCTAGCATACACCTAGCAATTCCCAGAGTCCTAGCATGAACTTTTCACCCCAGCTATGTACTACTGCTGTTCCTTTCAAGGGCAGCAATAAATTAAAGGGGTAATTGGAACTACACAGTTGAGAATTGCTTCCCCCTAACCCTTGCTGCGGTTGGGGGCCCTTCTATTCCCAGTAAGTGAATTTCAGACCCCATTCTAAAAAAAAAAAAAAAAAAAAAAAGTCTTCCACTTGGCAGGGCCCGGTTACTTTTTTTCTCTTTCTATATGCCGACTCCCCACCACCAACAC